ATCCAGGATCTGCGCTTGTAATCAGCTGACTGACTATTGTATTTGTAAAAAATACCTAAGATGATCTTGTAATTAATACACGTTACATTTAAGATATACGATCACAACCATGTCATTTACGTTTCTAGTTGTTTTAGAGTTGGTGACTTTATACTAATCTTATAATGGCAACTAAATCCAGTTCTGTTGCGTGATTGTCTGTTTGTCTGGGGTTTTTTTGTCTGCATTTTTATTGGTCATCTATAAGTCCGTCATGTATTCTGGCAGTACGTAAGTTACGTACATATGTATTTACGTTAGTTGTTGTGTATCTGTCTGTACGTCTGTTATGTATCTGTCTGTACGTCTGTTGTTATGTATCTGTCTGTACGTCTTTTATGTATTTGTCTGTAAGGCTGTTGTTGTGTATCTGTCGGTACGTCTGTTATGTATCTGTCCGTACGTCTGTTATGTATTTGTTTGTAAGTCTGTTGTTGTGTATCTGTCTGTTAGTCTGTTGTTATGTATCTGGCTGTACGTCTGTTATGTATCTATCTGTACGTCTGTTATGTATCTATCTGTACGTCTGTTATGTATCTGTCTGTACGTCTGTTATGTATTTGTCTGTAAGTCTGTTGTTGTGTATCTGTCTGTTCGTCTGTTGTTATGTATCTGTCTGTACGTCTGTTTTTGTGTATCTGTCTGTACGTCTGTTATGTATTTGTCTGTAAGTCTGTTGTTTATGTATCTGTCTGTACGTCTGTCGTTGTATATCTTTCTGTACGTCTGTTGTTGTGTATCTGTCTGTACGTCTGGTATGTATCTGTCTGTACGTCTGTTATGTATTTGTCTGTAAGGCTGTTGTTTATGTATCTGTCTGTACGTCTGTTATGTATTTGACTGTAAGTCTGTTGTTTATGTATCTGTCTGTTCGTCTGTTTTTGTGTATCTGTCTGTACGTCTGTTTTGTATTTGTCTGTTAGTCTGTTGTTGTGTATCTGTCTGTTCGTCGGTTGTTGTTTATCTGTCTGTACGTCTGTTGTTGTGTATCTGTCTGTACGTCTGTTGTTATGTATCTGTCTGTACGTCGGTTGTTGTACATCTGTCTGTACGTCTGTTGCTGTGTATCTGTCTGTACGTCTGTTGTTGTGTATCTGTCTGCAAGTCTGTTGTTATATATCTGTCTGTAAGTCTGTTGTTATATATCTGTCTGTACGTCTGTTGCTGTGTAACTGTCTCTACGTCTGTTGTTATATATCTGTCTGTACGTCTGTTGCTGTGTATCTGTCTGTACGTCTGTTGTTGTGTATCTGTCTGTAAGTCTGTTGTTATATATCTGTCTGTACGTCTGTTGCTGTGTATCTGTCTGTACGTCTGTTGCTATATATCTGTCTGTACGTCTGTTGCTGTGTATCTGTCTGTACGTCTGTTGTTGTGTATCTGTCTGTAAGTCTGTTGTTATATATCTGTCTGTACGTCTGTTGCTGTGTATCTGTCTGTAAGTCTGTTGTTATATATCTGTCTGTACGTCTGTTGCTGTGTATCTGTCTGTACGTCTGTTGTTGTATATCTGTCTGTACGTCTGTTGCTGTGTATCTGTCTGTACGTCTGTTGTTGTGTATCTGTCTGTACGTCTGTTGTTATATATCTGTCTGTACGTCTGTTGCTGTGTATCTGTCTGTACGTCTGTTGTTGTATATCTTTCTGTACGTCGGTTGTTGTACATCTGTCTGTACGTCTGTTGTTGTGTATCTGTCTGTACGTCTGTTATGTATCTGTCTGTACGTCTGTTGCTGTGTATCTGTCTGTAAGTCTGTTGTTATATATCTGTCTGTACGTCTGTTGTTGTGTATCAGTCTGTACGTCTGTTGTTGTGTATCTGTCTGTACGTCTGCTACTGTCCAGCATAGAACAAAAAGTAGGAGCTACCTGGGCAAGTTCGGCCACTCCTGGTATTCTAGGTCTTAGGCATAAACACAATGTTTTTAAGATCTTAGCAGGTTACTCGAACGGAAAGCGTATTTACATTAAAAGATGGTGTGAAAAACTCGACTAAAAAAATGATTAAAGGAAGCAAATGAGATTTCAAAATGTAGAAAAAAAGGCATGAATTTGCTTATTTAGTTTCAGTTTTGCAACTTTGAGGCTAGATACATGTAAGTATAACATAGAATTTCGTATTCATTGAAATATAAAATGTACCTTGAACGTTTTTCTATATCAAGCTGTGACAATCTTTTTTATACTATGTGTAGTTGACTCCATTTCGGAGATATTGTGATTGATCTGAAAAACACACCTTATTGGCTCAGCGACGATCGCCTCGATATGGGTAGCCAACAACTGTGACGTCACAAGTTCAAAGCTGTCAAAACAGCCCTAGAGGAATATACCTGGAAGCTTCGATCATGCAGAGA